GCTTTGGATAAAAGCGTCTAACAAATGACATGTAATGTAATATTGTTTTATAATATATAATCTTTTTAACAAAATGTTTTAAGTGACAGAAATTAGGGCAATTTTAACAAAAACATTGAAAACCATTCAAAGCAAATGCATGCAAATAAATACAAAAATCTAATTCATCACCTATTATAATACTTATACTTGTATATTATTTCTGAAGGTTATTACGTTTTTGATTTATGTGAATATTAAAGCCACTTTTAATTCATGCAGACTTTTGAAGGTACTTTTCTTCTCACCTGCACAAGGAATAGCCACAGTGATCCATTTCCACAGTTTGTCATGAAGAGGTCTCACTGTGCAGGAGAGAAACAAATCCAGCTTCAGTCAAAGTTACATAACACCGAATAGTTCAGAGTTCACTCTCAGTAACATCTGTAATTCATCTCAGTGCCAGCAGTGGCTGCTGCTGCGTGAACAACATTACATTCATGAAGAAAATACTCATTAAAAGTGTTAAGTTAAGGCAGTAATACCTAAACACGTGTACATTGTATCTTATACTTAATTTACTGGTTATACTTTCAAGTAAAAACCTCCAAATCACTTCAAAATGTTCAGGATCCTATACTTTGTAATGGGGGGCCTCTATTTACTGGGAGCTTGAAACTTTATGACACGTTGACTCCTTTTATTGCAATTGAACCAATTCTTCAACTCATATCTGCGTGTGCACTCCATCTGACCCTTTCACTAATTCTAGTATTTTCCATTTGGTTGACACTTTAATGCTTCGGCTGCACAGCATGCGTGAGTAGAGCATAACCGCTACGGTTAAAGAGGTTCTGCTAATTTCCAGGTTCATATTTGTATGTATGTACAGTAGTGTCTCCACTGTGACATGTCTCCATGCTTTAATGTTCAAAAAGCTCTTTATTTTTCTCATACTGCCTGTGCTACAGCACCTCTTTTCACCCTCTGTCTAAAACCAGAGCCCAGTCTGCTCTGATTGGTTAGCTGGCCGGCTCTGTTGTGATTGGTCAATAGCTTAAAAATGTCCCACCCCTTAGCCTATCAGGTACAATGTTTTGGGGCGCTAGCCAATAGAAGTGTGAGTGTTACATAGTGATGTCACTAAGTATACAAAGGAGTCCAATGGAGGCATTTCATTTGCAGAACAGAATTACACAATACTGTTCTGCAAATATTAGCTAAAAGCCTTGTGTTTAGAAATGAATGAAATTCTGTCCAAATGACTTTAAGTGGTCTTTTTCCTGAAAACACTCAAAATACTTTCAGCTCTTTCAATGAAATGACAATACATATCCTTTCATGACTCTTTCCAGTGCTTTACAATGACCGGCATTTGATAATTTGACTATTTAAATGTGATTCCTGTCTTTTGTGATGAATGGTTATATTTACAGTCTACTTAAGAGAAGTTTTTTTTAAATAATACCTCTGCTGGAAAGAGGAGCCGAGGTAGAAACTTCTGTATCTGATCCAGAGTCTGATTCAAGTTGTACTTCAATATCCTCTCCAGTCCCTGCCGCTAGTTCCTCTCTATTCTCTGGTCCAGGTTCTACCTGGAGGAAGACTCGGTCCAGCAGGCGGTCCAGCAGTTGCTGGGCCTGGTCTGGTTTGGTTCTGATGGTCAGGACACGAAGGGGTTGCCCTGCTGAGACCCTCAGCTCAGTGAGGTTTCTGGGGAATCAGAACACATTCAGACCTGCAGAGCTGAGAGACACTCCGGTGTTGTTTAGGGCACTTTGCTACTCAAAGTTACTTTGTTCTGGTCCAAATGAGTTGAAAAGATGTTAACGTGTTGCATTTCCCCTCTGCTGGGTTAAGGTTAAGATTGTTATAGACAGCGAGTGATTTATTTTCTATCTTACTACCAGCAAGCATTGGTTTCGCAGTATTATGCCATTATTTCAACAGCCTATTTCATCTATAGTCCAAAAAACATCCAATGGGCCAGATCTGAAAATACACACTTTAACGAACTATGAATTATTATGCATAAATGACACTAAAGGCCAGGCCTACCCTCTCCGCCTCTGATTTGTTTGCCTTAATATTCTTAACCTCAAAAATCGTAATCTTCGTACTGATTTAAATATTGACTAAGTGTTCATATTAGGGAGTTGATTTACCAATTAACATCTTTTCAGATGTTTCTTTTCCAATGTAAGTCTTTGGGGAAGTCTTTTTAGGCCCAATGGCATCACATGACCTACATGGAAGTTGTCACTTCATGGTTAGGCTGGTACAAAAATTGGCTTCAAAGCATCCCAATATGTAAGGGCTTCTGGCCTCAGGAGGCACTCAGCTCAATTTACACAGTAATCCTTGTATTTGTGTCAGGTGGAGGTCAGATGACCACAAAGTGTAACAAGTTTGTTCATGATCTTACCGAGATTAATTCTTCTGAAGTGTGGTGGTTTTGGTCCACATGCCCAAGTACAATTTTTGTGTTCACATTTCATAAAGAGGGAGAAAAAACCAACCCGATTCAACCAAACTAAACACAGAACTGCAATAAAATCTACAATCAGCCAAATCTTATTATTACCATTGTTGATGCAGCTTTTAAAAGCTGATTTTAGCTGCTGATGTCTCTGGCTGTCGGTTCTTACCTGTTTCTGCTGAGTCTGAGGATCCAGCAAAGATTCAGAAGAACCAGCAGAACCAGCTGCAGAACCACCAGCGACAATAAAAAGAGTTCAGAGGTCATCGACACACTGATATGTGAAACACAGGGATACTGTAGATCTCAACACAACACACCTGTTTAGGGAGACAAAAAGTAGATTAACACTGAAGTTTAGAGTTTATTCCTGAAGCAGTTGAGAAACTTAGCTCTCTATACAGTCTATTTAGTAGCTATAATCTCTCTGAAAAGGCAAAACATTGTTCTTCAAACATGTATTGATATGTGGGTTTAACAAACCGGCCTCTCCTGGTGGGATCTTGTGGTTTAAAATCAGTTTGTTGATGCTGAGAAAATCAAAAGAAAACATTCTGTTTTTCTTTGAATTTCCTCAACCAATCAGAGTAAGATATGAACTGCTCAAAACTGATCATCATTTAGACAGCAAACCTTTCTGTTGGAGCAGCATTCCTATAGGAAACATTCAAAAGTCTAGCTTTTATAGTAAATGAAGTACAGTCCCTCTATTCCCCTATTTGATTCTGGTCTCAGTATAAACTTATCGGGTTTATTGCAACCTGAATAATTTGACTTTTCCAGAGGAAGGTATTCTGTCCTATAAACCAACACAATCTGTCTTTTACTCCACAACCTCCAAAAACCTTCGAGCAACTTTTTCAATTTATCATAATTTTTCAGAAAACTGCCAGTATATTAAGAATCAGTTAGTATTCGGCACCTTTCATTTTGTGGTGAATAGGAAAAAAACAACAACATGCGCTGTTACTTTGTTCTATTTGCCTGAATGCTGACATGACTGCAAGGATACTTGTACTACAAGTGAAGAAACCCAGTATCACTGCCATGGATCAATAAAGATTCTGATTTTGAACTTACCAACTGATGCATCATTGGAAAATGGGCAAACTGGGATTGTTCAGGGATCAACTGTTCCTGACCAAATCTGAACTTGTGTATTGGGACAGTATTTGGTCCACAAGAAATTACTCAAAGACTCAAGAAGACGAGTAAATACAAAAACACAGATTCAGAAGGATTTCAAAATGTTTACTTCCTATTATTATGTCTTAGTAATGGTCTTGTATCTCTGAAAGTCTTAGTATTTACTGACCGAAATTGGGGGTTATTACCATTCACTTTAATAGAGTGGTGAAGTGATGATGTATTTGTGTAGCCCGACCCGGAAGTAAGCTGCGCATGGGTTCCATTGACAAAAAAGCAATGGGATTTCTCCATAGGATTTTGGAATATTGTAAAAAATAAGATCTGTGGAAAACAAACCTGTTAGATAAATGCACATTTTGTTCAGCCGGATAATATCCACATGTCTACCCTACTTTTATAATTTTCTAATCATAAATCTAATCGCCAGAAGAAAAATGCTAACGTTATGCTATAAATGAACTACAGCAGGGTCAAGCCAACTTAAGATCGATGTTCAAAAATACAGATTCAAAATTGTACAAGTTGAAGTGTTTGTTTTAACAGTTTGCAAGAGCGCAGGTACTTGCTTTCAAGCAGAACAGGGGCAAAACAAACTTAGCGGGAGTGTTTACGTGTTCGGCGTAATGACGTACAACGGCCTCGACAACTTCTGTAGTCCTATTCAGCCACTTGTTAACAACCATCGTTTTTCAGACCCATAACATTTCAGAAATCACCAGGGTCACTGCTGCGTCTGGGTCATCCACAGACCTTATTTCGAGCTATTTTCCAAAAACTAGTAAAAAAAAACATTGACTCTGAGACGAAGGAACCGGAAGTGGTAAAATGCCAACTCACTTCCGGGTTTTAATACTCGTTCCTGCACCACTCTATACAGTCAGGGTTTAATCGCTGCAGCCTCTTGTGGACATTAGCGGAACTGCAACACCCACTCCCAGCCGCTGATTGGTTGATTAACAAATGCAGGAAACAGGAAGTGGGAGGTTTGTCAGCACGTTTTATTCATTACATTACATTGCATTTAGCTGACGCTTTTATCCAAAGCGACTTACAATAAGTGCATTTGACCAAGAAGATACAAACTTGAAGAAAACAGAATCATATAAGTACATCAGGTTTGATAGAGCCAAAACATTTCAAGTGCTACTCAACTGGCTTTAGATAAGCCAGTCCTTTATTAGTATATAAGTGCTTTGTTAGTAATTCTATTGCTCGAAGTGGAGTCGAAAGAGATGAGTTTTCAGTCTGCGCTGGAAGATGTGTAAGCTTTCTGCTGTCCTGATTTCAATGGGGAGCACATTTCACCATTTTGGAGCCAGAATAGTATTCAGATTAACATGGATCAAGAAGTCAGTGAATGTTTTTACAAAATAAAATGTACACGAGGAGAATCTTTAGAAATGTTTTGTCTTTTTATATTAAAGCACCTTCAGACACATCGGTCATCGTTATATTAATTTATAGGAATAGCATTAAATATCATACATGAATACTTACACATAAACGTACCCTGATAGGTAACTATTATTAAGCGCCATCTTGATATAAATAAGGTTATTATTACACCAAAAGTAAAAAATAACAAGTTGATAAAATAGGAAATAGCTCAATTTATTTTATATAGCAATCAAATATATACACAGTGTGTGTATGTGTGTGTTCAGACAGCATTGTTGTTGTTGGTCTCCATCCTGCTGACCAGCTCGGTCACCAGCTGCTGAACGGTCTGAGAGCGCAGCCGGCTCACCTCCAGCACCCCCTCATGGTTCACACTGTCCGTGTCCTCGTAGCTCTTCACCACCTGACAACAATCCATCCATCAATCAATCAATCAATAAATAAATAAATAAATAAATAAATAAATAAATAAATAAATAAATAAATAAATAAATAAATAAATAAATAAATAAATAAATCAAGGCTGGAGTAAATGTTTACCCTATGAGTCATGTGATCGACCAATTATTAAAGTATGTAATTACATTATACACATTTAAGAGTAGGCTGAAGACTTTCCTCTTTAGTACAGCGTACAGTTAGGACTGGTTTTAAACTCCCTTTTAAACATCCTCATGGAGCCTTCATTTTATGGAATTTTAATTACTGTATTCTAACTGTATTTGTGTCATTGTGTTAGGTACCCATTCATTGGTATTTTCACATTTATCTTGTCATTTTACTATATTCTCAGATATGTTTGTTGTTTTTACATTGTCATTCATGTTTGTTGATTTGTGAAGCCCTCTGAGACAAATGTGATTTGTGATATTGGGCTATATAAATACATTTGAATTGAATTAATATATTCTTTTGTTTTAGACATAGTTTCTAATATGACAGATTTGTTAATATGAAGAGACCAACTTATGTTTATTTTTAGGAAAATATCAACGCATTTAATATTACATTCTGGGTTCTAAAGAAAGTATTTGCTAAAATGCAAAACAATCTATCTATCTATCTATCTATCTATCTATCTATCTATCTATCCATCTATCGTATCGATCTATTACTCTGTCATAACTTATAACTTTTCATCCCCTAATATATACTGTAGGGTAATGTGTGATTCTATATAACATAATCTGCTGATCAAATAAACAAACGGTTTGTCAGTAAATAAATGAAACTATCTTAACCATTGTAGTAATCAGGTATTGGTGATATTGTGTTCTGCAGCTTTGATATGTTATCAGTCACAATCCACCAGCACCGACGTATTGATCGAGTGTTTCACCTTGTTGGTGATCAGAGAGAGGCCGAACACCTTCAGACCGCAGTGGATCGCCACGACAACCTCAGGAGCTGTACTCATACCTGTACACACAAAAACAACAAAAGTTTAAAAATGATATACATTTATACATTTTTCATAAAGGTTCAAACGAATTCAATAACTTAGCCGGTTATATCAGTGTAGTGTTTATCTGATTCAGTTCGTTCATAAATAATCTTTACTTCATTTAAAATGAGGGGATTAAGTCATATGTCTCCAACTATTATCTGCTTGAAATATATGTTCAGAAAACACAACCATGGTATCAAAGAGGTATTCAATGTGAGCTCACCCTGAAAGTAATAACCCACAAAATGAAAGAGGATATTCTCTAAAGATTTTGCGTTCTGAGATTTCTTAGATGAATTACAACACTCTGGATTACTAACTGGGCATAGGAAGCAACTTCTCCTGAGCCCATAGAGCGGTGCAGGGATGACGTATTTACCCGGAAGTAAGCTGCGCATGGGTTCCCTCGACAAAAAAGCAAAGGGAGTTCTCCATAGGGTTTTGGAAAATAGCTCGAAATAAGATCTGTGGAAAACGAACCTGTTTGATAAATGCACGTTTTGTTCAGCCGGATAATATCCACTTGTCTACCCTACTTCTATAATTTTCGAATCATAAAAAGCAGAAGCAAAATGCTAACGTTATGCTATAAACGAACTACAGCAGGGTCGCACGACCTCAACGTCACGTAAGATCGATATTCAAAAATACAGATTCAAAATTGTACAAGTTGAAGTGTTTGTTTTAACAGTTTGCAGGAGGCAAGTACTTGCTTTCAAGCAGAACAGGGCAAACAAACTTAGCGGGAGTGTTTACGTGTTCGGCGTAATGACGTACAACGGCCTCCACAACTTCTGTAGTCCTATTCAGCCACTTGTTAACAACCATCGTTTTTCAGACACGTAAACTCTTCAGAAATCCCCAGTGGGGTCACTGCTGATGTATTTAATGTCGTAGAACAAAACGTGATCCGTCTCTTAAAGGTAGGGTAGGTAAGTTTGAGAAACCGGCTCGAGGTACACTTTTTGTTATATTCCATGGAATGCTCTTAACATCCCGATAGCAATGAATATCTTAAGTGCTTTGACAAAAAATCCATAAAAAAATGTCATCTGTGGAAGCCGTAATACTGTAAAAAGAACGACCAATCATTTTAGCCGGCCCGGCTAAAATGATTGGATGGCCTACCTGCCTGTCAGTCTTCCATCTGTGCACAAACTTATCTTGTGCCCTCATTGGTCATGTGTGCGTTCGTGTGTGTTGGAGGAGGGGCTCTGTAAGGAAGTGGCAGATTTTCTCCGGTTGTGTATTTTCAAATTCTAGCGATCTCGAGCCGGTTTCTCAAACTTACCTACCCTACCTTTAAATTTGTGTCAAACACAGACCTTATTTCGAGCTATTTTCCAAAATCCTATGGAGAAATCCCGTTGACTCTGAGACGAGGGAACCCGTAGTGGTAAAATGCTAACTCACTTCCAGGTTTTAGGACTCGTCACTGCACCACTCCACACCACAAGCTGCAGGTTCACTGTTTTTATTTGTATTTCTTTCACTGTAGTATCAACATAAATGTTTACTATTTCATTACCAGACGTTACCAGCCATGGTGTCCCTGCCAGTAATTAAACAATGTACATTTTCTCAGGAACTAAACATAAGCACGATTTAAGGCCCTGAGTATTTATTAACATTATTCAGGACATTTTATGATGAACTGCTAAAATGTGAGGATTTGCTGTTTTTTCTTTTGATTACTTTAATTTATCTTCAAAATTTGGAGATTTTCTAAAATGTTCTGCATTGAGTACTTTTGTTTTTAAGACCAAATGCATATTTTCATATTGATTGTACATACCTTCACAAAATCATTTTTACAAAGCCTCAAAAAATGTTATTTATTTTTTTGTTGGTATTTTGATATACTGTATCTCTACAATTTGGTACTTGTTCTGACTTCCGTAAAGGATTTGAATACTACCTCGAACTGTCTTGTACAGTGCCACGTGAAATATATAGAATATTTTAGACTTATTTTAGTTGTAATTGCTCTCAAAAGTTGCATTTATCTAAACAAAGTTATGTTTAAAAAAAATTTCCCGAACCAACTGACACATTAAAAACCGTGTCCCTGATATTTTCAGCACAAGAGAAAACATGAATTTAATGCCGACACTATCATAAATCGAGGAGTTATAAATTCAGAGAAGACTTCCTGGTCCTCAGAGGATGAACCCGTATATTTTTTATTTACCTGAAAGGCTTTGAGAAAAGATGAATCATGGTGATTTGAGTGTTTTTGACATCTTACCGACAGCGTCCACTCCCAGTCGGTGCAGCAGCCGGGCCTCAGCGATGGTTTCAAAGTTGGGCCCCCCCACCATGGCGTACACGCCCTCCTGCATGAGCTCGGACACGCCCAGCTGCTTCCCGATCTCCATCGCTGAGCTGCGCAGACCTTTGTCATAGCAACCAGACATCGCCGGGAAACGAGGTCCGAACCTGAACACAACAAAACGATAAACAACAACTGAAAAAAAACAACCGCAAAGCAGCACACTTCAAAATGTTACTGTGACAGTTAACAAGCAACATGAAAATATGAAACAATAAAAAGGGCCAGAGTGACAAATATTTTTACTTTTGACATAACCCATTTAAGGTCACATGGAGAATATTAATCTGTGGCCCGCAGGCCTTCATACTTTTAATTAAATAATTGTTGAAACCAGGAAATCTGTCCAATACATCAACCCCTTTTTTTTTTAAGAACAAGGAAAATATAGGTGAAGAAGTATGTAATTGAATGAGTAATACCTGGGATAACTATGAATAATATGGTCGCTATAAACTTGAACCTCACTACATGCATGAGTGTATATAACTCCCTGTAGGAGAAATACAGTACCGTGTTAAACTGATACCATATCAGATCGAAATGCTGTTAATGCAGTAAGGTCACTATCAATTTGACACAATAGCGGATCAAATGCCACAGAGTATATCTAAGTCATAATATATGTACCAACTACCATTGTATGCACAATGGATTCAAAACGCACAGCATAACAATCTGTTCAGTATATTAAAAAAAGTATATACACGTTTCTCACTTGTCGTCGTTGGGTCCGAACAGCGGGTGCATGCCGACCAGCCCGGGGAAGTTAATGTGGTCTTTAATGATCATGATGTCACCGGGTCGGAGGTCGTCAGCCAATGAACCGGCAGCGTTTGTCACGATCAGAGTCTCCACCCCTAACAGCTTGAAGACTCGCACTGGAAATGTCGTCTGATGAACAGACAGAGACAGATATTTCTTTCAAAACCTTGGTAATACTTTCAAAAAATGTGTTGGGAAGAGCTTCTATCGAGCGCCAACTAGAGGACAGTCAGGTATCATCAGCATAGCATACAGAGTCTGTGAGTGTGTGTGTGTGTGTGTGTGTGTGTGATAAAGGGAAACAATAGCAGCATTGAACAGTCTGCTAAAAGGCTGCATGTGACTAACTCATGCATGACTTGAGTCAGGTTCACAAATGTACACACACACACACACACACACACACACACACACACACACACACACACACACACACACACACACACACACACACACACACACACACACACACACACACACACACACACACACACACACACACACACACACACACACACACACACACACACACACACACACACACACACACACACACACACACACACACACACCACGTTACAGGTTCAGTCTCATGCTGCTGATTACAACAATTTGTATGTGTGTAATACCGAGGTTTGCGTGACTGAGGTGCTTTAATCAGCTTACGTACAATGCTCCCCTGTGAAGAATGTATCTAGTCATTTGTATTTTTCTGTTTATATTTATTTTGTGTTAACAAAATTAAACATTGAAACACTGAAATGGTGAAAAGTGTGATACTGATCTAACAGCTGTTACCAGTGGCGAAATTACTAAAATAAATTGTACTGAACTGAACCTGATGAGTGTGTGCTCTTGTGTTGGTCTTTGTGAGGGCTGGATTGAGTTAAAAGTCTTGAGTTTAAGTTAGTATTAGGTTTAGATTCAAGGAGTATTTTGTGCTGCACTTTTACACATTAGGAAGAATCACAGAAGACAGAATAAAACCTTGATACATTGAACCCTCACTGCCTCCCAAACAGTGGTGGCGCCAGGGTATGGCTGGGGTAGGCTACAGCCATACCAAGAAATGGCTTAGCCCCACCTTAGCCCCACCATGAAAAATTATGTTAAAGTAAGCAAATTCAATTAAATAATAAGTAAAATGCTAAATGTTGAGAACACGGCTTGCGAAAATATACGGGTCGTGTCCACAGCACACAAACTGATCCTGCTGTAACAACAAGTGCACGTTACTGATGCAATATGGTTGAGACCATTCGGGCTTATGCTAGAAGAGGAGTGCAAGGAATAGTCTAAGTAGTGGGGGAGTTTTATACACTAAATGTGTGGAAATTCTCTGGCGTTATAATATCAGCGCGGCCGCGGTCAGATCAAAATGCCTCCGAATGCAATTTGAATAGAGTCAGACCTACAGCCAATCAGAGCAACGCAACGTTGGGTCTGCGTTATGCATTACTGATGAGATCAATCGGAACCGCCATTCAGTATCCCCATTGGATCTTCAACGTGTACTATCATACGTCACGTTCACAGTGATCCCTTTTTATTTACTACAAGACAAATGTGCCGTTTTATTTCATACGGTCCATTTTGATTGAGACAGGGAAATAATCTAAACCTCACGCGTGGCGTTTCACTGTCGAGGGGGGCGATATAGCGTGTATGTAATTACATTGCAAATACTGACTTGAGCACCACCACTGTATGAGTTAGCCCTACCATACATTACCCAACAAAAATACTCTGGTGCCGCCACTGCTCCCAAACACTGCAGCATGATGCCAATGTTAGCAGGATGCTAACTTAGCTTAGCTTAAAGACTAGAAATTGATGGAAACAGCTAGCTTGGGTCTTTCTAACAGTTAGAAAATCAACAACTTGTAACTTGGAAGTTGTTCATTAGCACACCATATTTTGTTTGTTTGTTTCATTTGTACAAAAACAAGAGTATAAATATGAGAATTTGCTGTTTGCCTTGCGTAATTGTACGAGGTGCATTGGATTTATAGGCTAGGCAAGTTTATTATAGCAAAAAAAAACATTTAAGAATTATGATAAAGTGCAACACCCAGAAGTGGTTGAAAAGAAACATTGCGATTGGTACCATGGATTTGCACATAACCCCCAAAAACGGAACTGTTTTCATTCTTACAATTGGTACAGATGAAATAAATGATACTGTGTTAACTAGTGAGCCTCTGGTGGGCTGGTAGGAGGATTTGTCAGATTTGAAAACAGACAGTATAGTAGTATCATCATATTTACCATAAATAGATGAGTGTTCTAAATATTGGCAAATAGACAAACTATTCTTTAATGTAAGTTATGCAAATGTATGTGTGTGTGTGTGTGTGTGTGTTTACCTTGCAGAGTGAATGGCCTTCATACATGTGGAAGCGGCCCTGCATGCACACACATGTCTTCCCCTTCAGCTCCCCGAAAACCAGCCGCCCTGCGTGACCCTGCACTGCAGCACAGAGTGGGGGTTCAGGTGAGACACAGGTACAGTGATGCTAGTTAACCAATCAACTTATAACCAGGCAACTGTGATGCTATTAACTTACCAGTTGCACAGAAAGTACTGACAGTCTCAGAAGTTATACATACAAAATCGGACTCTTCATGAATAAATAAACATCTCTTCAAAAATGGCACTTAATTTACAGGTATAGATGGATTCGATTTGTGTTAAGCAGTTAATCCCGAGGATGTAAACACTATATAACAGTAAATCAGCAGTACCTGTGCTCTGGGGGAAGCCCGGTATGTCAGAGTAGGCAAAGGAGTCCTGACACTTGAGCGTGTCAGCGAGCGCCCCCAGGCCCGACCCGCAGATGATCGCCACCTTGGGGCGGTGCTTCGTCTGGGACTTCAGCCAATCAGCTGTCTTCTGGTAGTCGTCATGACTGCAGGAACAGTTTAATGTTAAGGGTCAATGAGATTAGATGCTGTGTTGTTAAACATTACAACAGAGGCAAGACAAACATGCTTATATCACTGGAAGACGCACACACACACACACACACACACACACACACACACACACACACACACACACACACACACACACACACACACACACACACACACACACACACACACCACACACACACACACACACACACACACACACACACACACACACACACACACACACACACACACACACACACACACACACACACACACACACACACACACACACACACACACACACACACACACACACACACACACACACTTCAAATCCATGCCTTACGAGTCATTGCATGTTTACATTTGAACTGCCCCTTATATTTTACTATTACATATTATTTGATGTTTTACAAAAGCCAGCTAAGCATTTAACACGATTCTCCTTATGGAACCAGAGTGATATAAGCATCATACACCTTGAATACACCTAACCAGTGAGCAGCATGTAAATATGGTAAATATATACAGTTTAATGAAGAATACATTTTTGAAGTCCTCTTTCTTTCTTAACCTTTATTTAACCAGATAAAAGCATTGAGATAAAATCTAATATACAATGCTGACCTGGCCAAGAAGGCAGCAACGTTACACATAACACAGACATGTAAAATACAGAGAACACAACTAAGTAAACAAAAGACGAAAAGCAGTCACTACATTGTGCACATTAGGGACAGTAAGAAAGGTACACTACTTATTACTGCGAGAGCAGCTGGTGGTAAGGACCTCAGACAACTTCAATTTAAAACAGGCTATAGGGACAAGTGCCATCAGTTTGAAGTCCTGATCCCTCGTCAGAGAGTTAACTAATATAATTTACTGTTGGATTTTAGTTTCAAAATCATTTTCTTTTTTCACTTCTTGTAAAATATAAAATATTTATAACAAATCATCATGAACTCAGGAGGTTTTCTAGCGTAAAATAAAAAAACTAACAAATATTACATCTTGGTTACATCATCATATAACATCACCAATACTTTAACTTTACAAGTCACACAGGTTAGGAGGTGTATCTCTGCAGTTTTTAATGGACCTTTACATTACAACAGCTGGATTTATATAATCTGGTAAAGAGTGAGTTTGTTTGTTGTTTAAACTGACAGCAATAATTATTAGGTATTTGGATACAATGCAATGTGCAACTGAAGAGTCACAAACACACATAGTTATAATTTTAGGATCATTTATAATATAATTACTTAGTGCTGTACCCCAAAGGTAACCAGTATTTACAAAAGAGTATGATTTGTTTCTCCTTTCCTCTAAAATGCCCACTTCTTACTACCAATTTCCCCAAAGTCTTGTTTTCCTTCACTGAGTTCACAGTTACGGAAATATATCTGATTCATAAAGCATAATTACAGTTGTAATAAGGTCCGTCTAACAATAACAATAACAAGTCATCCAAGGATAAATCTGAGGGACCATAAGCGCATTAACAGAGAATTTGTAGAAAAAAACAACATATGAGGCTTTTTATCCAACTTTCCCCTCCTTTGTACATTTTCTTGTGAATTACTGAATGGAAATACTATTTGTTGAACTACTCATATAAAATTACGATCGGTCACAATCCAAAAATGTTAGTAAACAATGAGTGTTGTGTTGTGAGAGACAACAGCACAACAATAAATAGTTGAAATAAGATGTAAATAAAGTGTTTTCTTACCTGATCTGTTCTTTGCTGTTCATGATGACAGACGGGAAAGGATATTCAGCAGAATGATGAGTGTGGGATTATTTAAGGAGCCTCTGTCACTGTACTGTTTGTGTGTAAAAGTGTGTGTGTGTGACGCTGGGAAAGTCAGAGTGTTTCCAGCTGATGCTGAGCGGTTAGATATTCACCAGTCACATGCTGCTGATTGGTCAACAACTCGCCCATTCATCAGCAGCAGCCAATGGAGATACAGCGGTGAAGAAACATGCGTGTGTGTGTGTGTGTGTGTGTGTGTGTGTGTGAGTGTTTGTGCGTTAAGTCGGTTTAGAAACACACACACACATTCTTGCACAATAGTACTTTTACTTTTATGCTACTTTATGATACTTCTACTCCATCGAAATATTGTACTTTTCACTCAGTTACTTCAGTTACCAATAACTTTTCAGTTATTATTAAAACACAAAATAAAATGAACAAAAAATGGATAATAAATAATTATTAGTTAAAGACAATACTTAAACAATCCTCAAACGTGAACTAGCTAACTGTTAAAACCTTTTTATTAGCTTAACCTTTTTAAACATCAAAGTGATGAACATATTAATGCATCAATGGTTAAAATCTAATAATGTAATTTACACAACTCTAAAATGGTTCTATAAGTATTATTTTAATGCAAATACTAAGTAAAACTTTGATTGCACAACTTATAATTGAAACAGAGTTTTTGTATATTGTAAAGTAAATAAGCTGAGTACTTCTACAGTCCTTGGGTTCGGTCAGATCATTATTCTTAGTGGCTCATTTGTCACTCACAGTGAAAATGAAACAGGCATCAAGTTCGAAGTACACATTTATGAGACTGTTAACATGACCTTTTTACATTTATGACATGACTTTTAGACTGCACCACTGAACATTTCCATCATTTGAACTATAACGTTTCTCGTAAATGTAGTCATTAAAAAAAATGGTGCAATGTTTGCTGACTGTTAACGCTGCTCGCAATATAACCTCAACATCCTTTGGACTGTTGTTGCATTGTTGTTAGTGATTGAAGAAAAATAGAGACTTTTACTGAAGTAAAAGTACTTATACCTCAATATAAAAATACTTTGTTACGAGAAAATATCCTGCATTTAAAATCTTACTTAAGTAAAGTGTGCAAGTATAATCAAGTAAAGGTACTAAAATATAAAAGGTAAAGTACCAGTGTTTAGTCTTTGCATTATTATATGTTATTATATTAGATCTTTATCAGTTATTATCAATGATGCAGTAAGATGCTGTTTAATATTGGCTGCATTGGAGCTACTTTAATATTTATTTATATTGCTGGGTTGTTTCATATATTGCATAACAATGCCTTGCACTTCATAAAAAAAGGTTTAAAAGTATTAATCTTCAAAGCAAAAAGTACAATTTGTCCCCTTGAAAAGTAATGGAGTAGAGAGATAAAAAGTAGCATACAATTAAAATCCTCCATAAAGTATAGTATTAGAGTAATTGTACTTAGTTACTTTCCTCAGTTGGTTGCAAGTCATATCCGTCACTCTCTCTCCTTCACTGTAATCTATCAAATAAAATACAAAATGACTGTTACGGCTGCTGTTTCTGTCTGCTCGTTAACCTGTCTGAGATTGTTTGCAGCTGTGTGTAATATGTAAATGAGCTGTGTGGTTGCCCCAATGTCGTTGGCTGTCATCTCCTGGTCCTCCTCCGAAGACGCTGATTGGAGCACGCCGGGCCCGACGCTCTCCAATCCCCGTGCAATCCCAGAGCACACCTTCCGGAGATTACTACAAAGCCTGGGGACAATTAGCACTCGGGAGGCTCTGCTGCGATCAGACGCCTCATACCTTTTGCTCTTGTGTCGTGGACACTACAGACTGTGTTTGGTGTGATATATGTGCTTAGTGTCGTGTGTTGAGTGTTGATATATGTGCTTAGTGTCGAGTGTTGATATATGTGTTTAAAGTGGTGGGTTTAGTTTATTTTGTTAGCTGTGTTTTCCTGCAGCTCCTTCCATTAGTGCTGATTGGAAGTGATCTCAGGTGTGATAACTAGGCTCATGTTTTAGAGTCCTTTTTCTGTTATTAGCAGTAGACTTGTGCCCTTTTGGCTTCTTTGTTTGGCTTAGGCTACGTTTGATCTCATTTTGTTGTGCACCTTTGTTGTTGCTCATTAAATCCGATTATAATACTTACCAAATCCATCTGGTGTGTGTTAACTTACTCATCCCTAGTGGGTTCGTAACAATGACCAATAATGTATAAGGAAACAGAAGTTTCTACTCAGGTAAATGTACCTCACTGTTCAGTAAAATAAAGGATTCAAAGTCTGCTTCTTTGAACCTCGGGTATCAAATGAGGTTACATTTAAATTAATGTGGAGCACGTTTGCATCAGTTAGGTTAAATTTGTCGATTTGAACCCTGTTAAGTACGTCAGGCCCGAGCTCAGCCTCTGGATTCAGCCAATCAGAGCGAAGCTTTTCAGTTTAACTAACAGCAGCTCGTCGGTCGGTTCTATATGAATTGAAACTCCACGTGGAGTCTCATGACCGCATACACACCTCACATGCTGCTGCTCTGATCCGCTAATGAGGCTCATGTGGGGCTGATGGACCAGACCCAACAGAGGAGCTGACAGGAAGTCGTCCCGTCCCGTCCCGCAGGAAGATGTTGAAGAAAATGGAACAATGTATTTTATTATATAAATCTTAAATATGTTAAAAACTGTGTTAAAACTCTGAATGCCATAGTCATGTATCGTATAGTTTAATGCTTTAGCAATATAAACAGGATGTATAACAGAAATCCTGAAATGGGTGCTCATAAAGACCCGTGTTGCAAAGTTCGCACTTCCTCTTTCGAGGAGATGAACTTTCTATGCACTTCCCCTTTCGAGGAGAAGATCTGTTATGTATTTCCTTGAATTGAACAGTTAACCACAGCAACGAAGAAGGACACCTCTAAACGCACCAGCTTGCACGCAAAGGATGTGACAAACCACGTGTCAAACCATACGGGAATAACTATACCTGTATAATATTGCGACAAATACTGAGTGAGGGGAGCCACCGCTAAAAATAAAAATAGGGCCCCCACCAAAGGGTAACCGAAAATATTATGACAGATGACGGGGTGATTAGCTACCACACTTAGGGATCAAGCAGTAGGCTATTAAAAAAACATATCAGTAGGAACAAGGTCCCAAACCGGATCCATTTTTGGATTGCGGTCTGAGGCAGGACCGAGTGAATATAACGAAATGATTTCACCCGAACACCCGTTAGTTATTCTGGGAACAGCGCCAGCCCTACCACAGGAGAGGTTCTGAACCCGGCCAACACTGACATGAGGGGTAGCAAAAGCGCTAAGCGAGAAATACAGCGTTCAAACACAAGCAAACTATAATGATTTAGTAACACGACAAAGTCTGCCGCTAAAAGCGGAAAACATACAAAGGCAACCTCATTATTTTATAACTATTATTCTTTTTGTATTGCTCTTGCTCTTATTGTTATTATGTTGCATTGTTGGAGAAGCCTGTGACATAAGATTTTCAACTACATAATTACTCTGTAGCTATGTCAGATTGACAATAAAGAACCTTGAACCTTGAACCTTGAACCTCATGGGGAGGCAACGGACATTCGCGGAATAATACATGTCCCCTATAACCCAAAACCCCTAGAGATTGGCCCGGAACCACAAAAAAGAATCTTGGAGATAATAATAAAGCATGCCATCTCAATTATAAGTCCAGAAGAACCAGTGCTGCTCACTCGTTTCGGAGCAGGCAATTTTGGATATGATGAGGATGCCTCGTTTATGGCAATGTTTGCGGTTCTCAGGGATAATGCAGACAGACCAATATACTGGGTGGAAAACACTCCAGGAGGGTACGCAAGGGCAGCATACTGGCTTCTTTCAGGACAATAAAAACAGTACTTCCTAGAGTCAAGCCTAAACATAGATGTAAGGGAATTTGACCCGCAACTAGCGCTCCTGATGGATGATCTAAATATGGGATATCCAAAAACATACAAGTGTAGACCCGACAGCAAGGCCACCCCCCGTACAATTCACAGCCAGGGATAAACCAAGGGTTCACACCGGTAGATCCGGCACCAAGGAGCGAACAGTCTGGGTCCAGAAATGGCCCAGGAAATACTAAGTCAGGGCCAGGAAAGCTTAAATCCAAACTCACTCTTAACAGACATGTTAAGAGGAAGTATGGCAATAGTAAAAGGAGGAAATGAAACCCCACCAGCGCCTCCATCAACCCCGGAACCTCCGGAAAATCATAGGGCCCCAGCGGGCCCTCCCCAGCCACCATCATTACCCACAGGACAGCCACAAGGCCTACCCAATGGGAACCCCAACCCAGTAGCACCATCACCCCCAAACCCTCCGATAGGAGGCAGACCCCCAAAGAAACCAAAACCGGTTCCCCCACCGAAAACAGGGGCATTACATAGGGGTCCCATTATAGTAGGAGGCCAAACGTTTTATGTAACAACAGCAAAACCAGATGAGATGCCCTCAACCCAGGGGAAAATAGTAACGTTCAGTACCCAGAGCAATGGTTGGAAGACCAGGATCATGAGTCAGAAATGAGAAGGATAGCTAAAGCAATAGTAATAAATATGCAGGGGAATGAAGTACATACAAAGGCATGGAGACACAACATGGCCATCATGCATCAAGATGCTGTAGAATGTCAAGCAGGGTTCCCAGCAGAAAGGGCAAAAGGACTAGGGCCACAGTCAGGATACAGACTAATGGCGCATTTCCACCGCAGGCCTCGCTCGACTTAGTTTCTCTGTCTGCATCATCATGGTCTCTGGGACGTAAACACCATCAGTTTCAACCTGCTGCATGACCTTCTCATTTTGTGCTGTCAGCTGACGCTGCATACAGATGGAGCATCTTATTTCAGACTCCAGCTTACTGCTTCCTGCCTACTACCTGCCAGTTACCTGCCTAAGACCTGCCAAAGACCAGTATCTGGGAATGTTAAGCCCTCCCACTATTTTCCAAGAGGGCGTTGCCAGATTTTTAATTTCAGGATTTAACCAGGAGATGGCGCTTCCTTCACAGAAACAGTTTTGTTTAGAAGAGCATTTGAACACATCAATATTTTAGATCAAATAAAGTATATCTAATCT